CTTCAGAAAACTGGTTTATATCAGCTTCAGAAAACTGGTTTATATCAGCTTCAGAAAACTGGTTTATATCAGCTTCAGAAAACTTTTATATCATCTTCAGAAAACTGGTTTATATCAGCTTCAGAAAACTGGTTTATATCAGCTTCAGAAAACTGGTTTATATCAGCTTCAGAAAACTGGTTTATATCAGCTTCAGAAAACTTTTATATCATCTTCAGAAAACTGGTTTATATCAGCTTCAGAAAACTGGTTTATATCAGCTTCAGAAAACTGGTTTATATCAGCTTCAGAAAACTGGTTTATATCAGCTTCAGAAAACTTTTATATCATCTTCAGAAAACTGGTTTATATCAGCTTCAGAAAACTGGTTTATATCAGCTTCAGAAAACTTTTATATCAGCTTCAGAAAACTTTTATATCATCTTCAGAAAACTGGTTTATATCAGCTTCAGAAAACTTTTATATCAGCTTCAGAAAACTTTTATATCAGCTTCAGAAAACTTTTATATCAGCTTCAAAAAACTTTTATATCAGCTTCAGAAAACTGGTTTATATCAGCTTCAGAAAACTTTTATATCAGCTTCAGAAAACTTTTATATCAGCTTCAGAAAACTGGTTTATATCAGCTTCAGAAAACTTTTATATCAGCTTCAGAAAACTTTTATATCAGCTTCAGAAAACTGGTTTATATCAGCTTCAGAAAACTGTTTTATATCAGCTTCAGAAAACGTTTATATCAGCTTCAGAAAACTTTTATATCAGCTTCAGAAAACTGGTTTATATCAGCTTCAGAAAACTTGTTTATACCGCCTTAAAAAAACAACTTGTTCATATCAAATTTAGAAAACTGATTCATAGCAGCTTTAGAAAACTGCGTAACAATAGTTTCAGAAAACTGGTTTATACCAGCTTCAGCCTCCTGGTTTATACTAGTTTCGGAAAACTGGTTTAAACTAGCTTCAGAAAGCTGTTTCCAATTTAACACAATATCTGTCCCAACACGTTGTAAGTAACGAGAATATAAAATATATAAAAATAGGATCGTAATGTTTATTTATTGCATAACATATGGTTAGCATTAAAGAGAAGAGTCCTTTCTCTTGAAAGTACATTGAAATATTTTGTATTTTTTAAAAAAATAAGCTCAACAAAACCATCACGTTCTTTTGTTGTTTTTTTTATTTATTTTTTTAATTACATTTTTATTACATTTTTTTTTAAAGCGAAACTCCAATCAATGTTCCTGAAAAAGAAAAAAAAGAAGTTTTAAGATAATAAATGTTTAAGTTTATGCTTTATATAACTATTTAAGTTTAATTTCAATTCATTTATCTGTGCTATACATATTATATTTTTTGTAAAAAATTCATAGCTTTGCTGACTCTGACAAACAATACGCTGTTACATTAAAATATTCTGTTACATTACAGTTAAATACTGTATTTTCATACAAAGAAAACAATTGAATTTTTTTGTTTAATTTCATTAAAATACATAATTATTATTAATTATTTTTTATTTAATAGGGTAAATAAGGTAGATGACGATAGACTACTAGAGACTACATTATAGTGAGCATCATTGTCTCCGGCAATCGTTTTAATATACAAACCAAAGAATTGATTTTTACTTTTGTTGAGCTGTTACACGTCACATGTCTCAGAATTGCAAGTTTTGAACTTTGACAAAACAACAAACAGAGAAGGCTTGAAAAAAATATTGCGCTTAACAAGACGCGAGCACACTCCCCAGGGAAAGCTTTCGTGCAGTTATGACAACTAGTTGAGACCAGTGGTGAGCCCATCGGGGCTCGCGTGCCGCATGCGGCTATTTAGCGACCTGAGTGTGGGCTCGGCGAACCGGCCACTAATCGGCTTTGGCTCCGCAAAAAAAACAACGTTCTTGGACAGGTTCTTGTGATAATAGTAATAACCCCTTCGACAGCTTCGCTTCTCCGCAGACACGCGTATTCTGTCCATTCCCAAGACACACACTAAAACATATGGTGAACGATCTTTCTCTTTCTGCGGCCCCAAACAATGGAATTCTTTGCCCCGACACATCCGCCATATACCAACCACCCAGGCCTTCAAAACTGCACTCAAAACACATCTCTTTAAACTACACTACCCTGTCTGATGCCCCTCCTCTGACCTATAAATGATCTTGTTGGCTGCCGTCCATGGGTTGCCTTATAAAAGTTCTGGGGTGCATGCTGTTCTTTCTTTCATAATTTTATCTTATTTTAATGTCATGATTATGTCTCTTTTGATAACATTTTTATGTACAGCGCGATGAGCCTAGACCTAGGCCACTAATTATCATTATTAAAAATAAATTTTGCTCTAAAATCTTTTCTACTCGTTCTGCTGCTGATTTATGGCTCTTTGGACTAATGAGTTTGCCGAGCACTGCCTTGGACGGACCTTTGAGAGGAACTTATTGCATTCTGAATTTACACATAACCAAGCTCCATTGTTCCTCAGATATTTTAATGTGACATATAAAACAAATGGAGAACTATACAACGCGTCATTATATACAAAGCGATTTAGAGCCATAAACATTTTATTAATCTATTTTTTTGCTGTAAATAAAATAAATTTAATTGTTAGCTTTTTTTTTTTTTTTTTTTTTTTTTTTTTTTTTTTTATTTTTTTTTTGTTGTTGTTGCTCGCTTCACTTTAAGCTAGATTTAGTTTTTTGTTGTTGTTGCTCGCTTCACTTTAAGCTAGATTTAGTTTTTTGTTGTTGTTGCTCGCTTCACTTTAAGCTAGATTTAGTTTTTTGTTGTTGTTGCTCGCTTCACTTTAAGCTAGATTTAGTTTTTTGTTGTTGTTGCTCGCTTCACTTTAAGCTAGATTTAGTTTTTTGTTGTTGTTGCTCGCTTCACTTTAAGCTAGATTTAGTTGTTTTTTTTGTTACTGCTCGCTTCACTTTAAGCTAGATTTAGCTTTTTTTGATATTGCTCGCTTCACTTTAAGCTAGATTTAGTTTTCTTTTGTTATTGCTCGCTTCATTTTAAGCTAGATTTAGTTGTTTTTTTTTGTTGTTTTTTTATATATATATTAACATTTTAGGTCAATGTCCCTTTATTTGCAACACAAAGAAAAACACAAATCCGATTTGATACAAAACTTTTATGTCACGTGGAGTTTAAAACGTTTTGAAAGGGCAAGAGGAAAATATTTCTTACACTATGTGTTCATAAACTGTGTTTTTATCTGTAAATCTATCTCAATATTCAAAGTCGCTCAGTTTCTCACGCCAAAATGTAATGCTCAATTTTTTTTCAATTTGAAGTTTTAAAAGTAAATTCCGTTTTGAAATGCTGATTAAATTATTCCAATGCCGTTCCCTGTTGATTGTTGTAAGAGCTGATGTAAAAAAAAAAAAGAAGTTATTGTTGAGAAGTAGTTCTAACACAGAACCGTATATTATATATTCAGTAAATAGATACAATGTAAATATTTGTATAAATACATAAAGTAAATATAAGTGCAGTTCGAATTTAGAAGATATCATTAATAAATGATGAAACAAAATTATATTTGTTCAGACATAAAGAGAGTGCTCGTGCTATATTTATGTTGCAGCCATCATCTTGAGACTGGGTACAATGCAAATTGACTTGCAGTCATCACCACGAGACACAATCCAATGCTAGTTGACTTGCAGTCATAATCACGAGGCACAGTCCAATGCTAGTTGACATGCAGTCATTATCCCGAGACACAGTCCAATGCTAGTTTTCTTTCCAAAGTTGCTGGATGCATCTGATTTTTTGGTGGTTCCTGGAAATAAGTATTGCATTGTAATTTACTTTAAAGATAAATTATCATTGCGTATAGTCACATACAAAATTTTAGCCTAGCATTACAATCAACATTTCATACTTAATGGAGCGGCATGGCATAGGATTGTTGAGGCTGGTGTACATCAGCCAAATGCGAATTAAAGGGAAGTGTATTGCATGTGACCGTTACAGATGGCGTACATCAGCCAAATGCGAATTAAAGGGAAGTGTATTGCATGTGACCGTTACAGCTGGCGTACATCAGCCAAATGCGAATTAAATGGAAGTGTATTGCATGTGACCGTTACAGCTGGCGTACATCAGCCAAATACGAATCAAAGGGAAGTGTATTGCATGTGACCGTTACAGCTGGCGTACATCAGCCAAATGCGAATTAAAGGGAAGTACATTGCATGTGACCGTTACAGCTGGCGTACATCAGCCAAATGCGAATTAAAGGGAAGTGTATTGCATGTGACCGTTACAGCTGGGGTACATCAGCCAAATGCGAATTAAAGGGAAGTGTGTTGCATGTGACCGTTACAGCTGGCGTACATCATCCAAAATTGGAGTTGAATGGAAGAGGATTGGGTTACGGCAAGCGTATAGCGGCCAAACTGAGTTTAAGGAAGAGCACAGCAGACGGCCATTATGGCAGGTGTACTTCGGAAAAATTTGAGTTTATTGGAAGAGCATAGTAGATGACCGTTATGCCTGGCTTACAAAAGCGAAATGTGAATTTAATAGAAGAGCATAGCAGGTGACCGTTACGCCTGGCGCACAAATGCGAAATGTTAGTTTAGGTTTAAGGGTACGAAAAAACTAACTCCTGGTAATAAAATAGAGCAAACGAAAGGACAAAGTAGTCGATCAATCAAGGTTTTCATAAAAAGTGGATGTGACACTGCCAATACAGTATCAGTCGCATAAGACAACACTGCCTATAAATTATCGGTCTCATAAGTCAACACTGCCAATACAGTATCAGTCCCATAAGACAACACTGCCAATAGATTATCAGTCTCATAAGTAACACTGCCAATAAAGTCGCAGTGTCAAAAGTCAACATTTCCAAATACAGTAGCAGGCTCAAAAGTCAACACTGCCAATACAGTATCAGTCTCATAAGTTAACACTGTCAATACAGTATCAGTCTCATGGCTTGCTCAGAGTTGTGCTTATATAACTCACGATTAACCATCGACTCACAATGACGGACAGGTGACAATGTGTTCTATAGACACAATTGAAGAAGATCTATTTATTGTAAAGAAAATAAAAGTGTTTTATTTTTAGCTTACTGTTTAGCATCCTCACCTGTAGGAAGCTCTGTGGTAGTTTCTGTTAGTCTCCAATCTGTAAGTATAAAAAACACAATTGTTTTATAGGCTTAAGATTGTTTTCTTAAATATTTTATGCTAGAAGTTGTCACTCTGTTTTCCTAGCATTCGTAAGATAATTTTACTAGTGTTAACAATTTAGAATGATTTGAAGGGTCAACACTAAACAATACTATAATAATGAACTTAAATAAGTGTGTATTGAAGAAATCTCGAGGCTGTTGCGCTACATGTAAATCTTAATAAACATCCACGCTTTTTTAAAACAGTTCTTTTGATTGTTTTTTATTTAGTGTAACATATTAGGGGTGGGGTGGGGGGCAGAGGGTTGAAAGTGTATATTTTTTTAAAATTTTTATTTTGCGGGCCACTATCGTGAATACAATATTAAATTTCTTGTTTTGTTTATGAGAAGATTTGATAACAGTAAAAAATGTAAGCTTTAACTGTCCATCAGTGGACACACAGCGGGAGTTCGAAAACCTCAAGATTCTATTTATCTTTTTTAAATATTTTCTAAGGAATATCAATTTTTAATTTTATTCCTATTGATTTTTTTGGTATGATTTTTTAAATCTTTAAGTATGCAATTACTTTTGAAAATAAACAAATCTTTACCCAAAGATTCAATATATCAACGTACCATGGAAGGTGCATTCCGAAAGATTCAACTTATCAAAATACTACGGAAGGTAGAGTCACGATTATTCAACATATCATTTTACCAAGGAATGTGGTGTCAAAAAGATGCAGCATATCAACTTACCAAGGAAGGTGGAGTCCAAAAGATTCAACATATCAACTTACCATGGAAGGTAGAGTCCAAAAGATTCAACAAATCAACTTACCAATGAAGGTGGTGTCCGTTGTTGACACTGTTGAAATTGATGTTGTTGTGACTGTGAATAAAATAGCGTGATATTTTAATGCAAAATAATAAATGTATGATTTTGAATTTAGATCGACCTGCGCTAAAAACTGCACTGACTAAAAGTGAACCTATGTAAACCAAAGTGAGGTTGTTGGCGACCAAAGGCTTTCTCAACGTGAAAATAGAAAAGGATCAGGACATGCGGCTAGAGCCTTTAATTTACAAAAACTTTCAAACTTTTGAGATGTTCACAAAAACTGCGCCAACATGTCAAAATGCCAACATGCCAATATGCCAACATGTCAATAAGTCAACATGTCAAATGCCAACATGTCAAATGCAAACATGTCAATATACCAACATGTCAATGTACTAACATGTCAATATGCCAACATGCCAATATGCCAACATATCAATATGCCAACATGTCAATATACCAAAATGTCAATAACCCAACGTTTCAACATGCCAAATATGTCAACATGTAAATTTGCCAACATATCGATAAGCCAAAATCTCAATATACCAAAATGTCAATATGCCAGCATGTCAATATGCCAAAATGTCAATATGCCAAAACATGTCAATATGCCAACATGTGAATATGCACGCATGTCAATGTGCCAACATGTCAATTAAAAGACATTATAAAAGAGTCGAATGAATGAATAAAATACTTGAAAATATCACAACAATATTCTCAGGAAGAAGTGATGTTGGGCCCTTCTTATAATTTCAATCAATGCTTTGCAGCAGTATCAATGACGGCAATTGTGTCTTCTTTAATTAACTAGACCAATTTTCACCCCAAATTTTTTGAAGCATTCCTGTCTTTTGCCACGCAGACGTCCAGTGTGGAATCTGAAGACTCTCTGTCTAAGGTTTACCAGGGGCAGCACGGTAACACGCAATTTTAGATTTGAGCCAAACGACAAAATTGCGCTTCCTCTGTGTTTAGGCGTTTTGTCTAAACATACGCTCTGGGGCGTAATTCTTGACGTTGATAAGAAAAGGACCAAAGGCTTTAAAATCTGTTACAGATGAATCTACAAAGGATTGACGAGAAGGCCTGCGTCCTTTGTGGGATTACAAAACGTACGTCTTATAGAACAAACAATTTATCAAACTAGAATCTCTAGTAAGAGAGCATTGAATTAAACAGTCCATAGCATGCAAGTAATACGTGGGAAAATGTGTTTTTACAAAATCTGCATACGTGAATACCTTCATTTAACTTATGAATATGAGAACACGAGTCTCACAGTACGTGGATAATTGGGTTGTGAAATATTCTGCAAAAGTAATTACCTTTATAGGCAAGCGTCATTCTACTAGCATTTGCCGGCAGAAGAGGCGTGATCATATCTTATTTTATAACATCTTTAAAGCATTGGCGGACAACCAGTAGGACAGTGGAAACTTAACCTCCACCCCAGAAGCAGTGGGGCAGAGGACACTGGACCTCCACACAAGGAATAGTGGGACAGTGGACTCCTGGCCTCCTAACAAGGAACATAATGGTATCTTCCACAAGAGTTTGAATTTATTTAAGAACAATATTGTAATTATGTAACGTCTGGTTTGTGTTAGGAAATAAAACCAAATTGTCTGTTGGCTAGGAAAGCTGCCGACCTACATCCGGTGAATAAATCAGAACCATTTAGTACTGAAATTCTAGTTGATGCATCTTCCAACCGCATTCTTAAGACCAAAAAAAAAAAAAAAAATGAATTCGAAAGTAAAAACACATCTTTTCCCATTGAATTTATTTAAGAACAATATTTTAATTATGTAACTGCTGGTTTGTGTTAGGAAATAAAACCAAATTGGTGGTTGGCTAGGAAAGCTGCCGACCTACATCCGGTGAAAAAATCAGAACCATTTAGTACTGAAATTCTAGTTGATGCATCTTCCAACCGCATTCTTAAGACCAAAAAAAAAAAAAAAAATGAATTCGAAAGTAAAAACACATCTTTTCCCAATCAAGGGGTGGGTAAGGAGGGACATTTCATCCGTTGCGTCAGGATCAATGCAAAACAGAGGGCAGGCAAAGGGCGGTGCCTAAAAATAGGCCTACAGATATGCCATAACAATATATATTATATATAGATAAATAAAAATATATATATAAAGAGATAGAGAGAGAGCGAAAGAGAGAGAGAGAGAGAGAGAGAGGATAGATAGATATCTCAGTGCCAAAAAAATTCATCAAAAGAACTGAAGTAATTGATCACTTCCAGTCAAACATGAAACTGGGCAATATAGAGAGAGACGTGACATCTTCAAGATATCTAGAATAATATATATATATATATATATATATAATCACCCTTGGAAAAGGGGAGGGGGCGGCTTTGGGATGGTTAATAATGAAAACAAACAGTGAATTAATTTTACATTCTCAGACATTCTCTGATTGAATTATTACAGAAAGATAATGTTGAGATCACCGCAAGGAGTTATTAATTTTATACAATTTAAAAAAAAAGACATTGATAATAATCATAGCGGCTTTAAATTCAATGCCAGAGCAGTTGCTCATATCACCACGAACCTAAACATTAAATTATTCAGAGAGGGGCTTCGATGGCCAGATTCAAAAAAAAAAAAATTGGTTCTTGAGAAACATGAATATCAGAACGTTAAAATCCATTGGAAGGAAATCCTTCAGACACATGACGTGGCTGGTGTTCTTAGTCATTCTAATTTAGTAGTATTGTTTTTTTTTTTTTTACATAGATTTAAACATGTGACAAATATCATGTCAGTTCCAAGACGTGTACGTGCTTTCCTGGCGTTGTATTTCGGTTGCAAGTGTTTTAGCATCTTGGTGTTGAATAACAGGCCTTGTGTTTAATGCCAGTTCTTGGTGTTGAATAACAGGCCTTGTGTTTAATGCCAGTTCTTGGTGTTGAATAACAGGCCTTGTGTTTAATGCCAGTTCTTGGTGTTGAATAACAGGCCTTGTGTTTAATGCCAGTTCTTGGTGTTGAATAACAGGCCTTGTGTTTAATGCCAGTTCTTGGTGTTGAATAACAGGCCTTGTGTTTAATGCCAGTTCTTGGTGTTGAATAACAGGCCTTGTGTTTAATGCCAGTTCTTGGTGTTGAATAACAGGCCTTGTGTTTAATGCCAGTTCTTGGTGTTGAATAACAGGCCTTGTGTTTAATGCCAGTTCTTGGTGTTGAATAACAGGCCTTGTGTTTAATGCCAGTGCTTGGTGTTGAATAACAGGCCTTGTGTTTAATGCCAGTTCTTGGTGTTGAATAACAGGCCTTGTCTTTTATGTCAAGCCAAATTCTTGTGCATCAGTTTGAAATTTGATTTTTTTTCATTGATATTTTATAACAGTTCCTGGTGTTGCATATCAGTTCCAAAGTTACATTAAATACTTTATCTCTTATAACATTTCATGGTTGTATAATCAGTTATAAAAAGTTGTATGAATTCTTGATGTTTTATAAAAGTTCCTGGTGTTGTGTATGAGTTTCAAAGTTGTATAAAATGATCTGTCGTTGTATGACAGTTCTTGGTAGTTTATCTTATTTTCTGGTCCTGCATTTCCGATACATGAGTTTGATATCATTTCTTAATGTTGATTGTCAGTTCTTGGTGTTTATATCATTTGTGTATCAGTTCTTTTAAGATAGTTCCTAGTGTTGTTTGTAAGGCATTTGTCTTGTGTTTCAGATCATGTTGTTGTATAATATTTCTTTTTGTTTTATAACAGTTCTTAGTGTATAACATTACCATGTTATTACTAATCATCTTAATGTCGTGTAACTGTCTCTTGTGTTGTGTTACAATTCTTTGTCTCGTTTAACAGTTCATGGTGTCTTTTAACACTTCTGTGTATTGACTAAAATGCTTGGGTGAATGAACATAAAAACATTCCATCTTCAAGGAAAATAATTTTGTATAAAAAATGTGTTTTTATGATACTTAACCTTCTTTGACAGTGACAACGGAGTAGCCTTGAAATAGTGTCCAAGGACCATTATCATCACAAAATACACCAAATTGACATTCATATCGACCACTGTCGGCAACCTTTGCATTCTTTACGATTATTTTGCAACCATATGTTTCGATGGCCAGTAGGTCTCTTGTTCTGTGGCAATCTTTGGTCCAGTCCCGACCTGAAGGAACCTTTTATGTTGAGGAATTGTATTTTAGATTACTTGGTAGTGTGTGTGTGATGCGCTACAAGGTAACATTAGTGTAATACATCAAAATGTGATGTTTGTGTGATATATAACAATGTGAAGTTTGGGTGAAATATACCAATGTAAAATTAGTTTGAGAAATAACAATGGGAAATGTGTGCGATATATAACAATAGGAATAGTGTGTAATATATAACAATGTGAAATTTGTGTGATATACAACAATGTGAAATTTTTGTGACATATAACAATGTAATATTTGTGTGATATATACCAATGTGAAATTTGTGTGGTATATAAAAATGTGAAATTTGTGTGATACATAACAATGTGAAATTTGTGTGACACATAACAATGTGAAATTTTTGTGACAGATAACAATGTAATATTTGTGTGACACATAACATTTAGAAGCATGACTGATAGCGTACACTAAAGTGTAATATAAAATGCGAACATTTGAATTTAAATAAGGATGATTGAGGAGGACATTCATTGAAAACTTGATGTATCTTGTAATGCCTCTGCAATGAGAACTCGCCTTTTTATTTACCTGTAAGTGTAAGTGTAATGCAGAATATGACGTAGGCTGGTTGCAGGTGATGGTGAAATTTCTGGGTTTTTTTTAATCGTGCTCGTGTTATATAATATATAAGAATGCGCTGTGCTGACATAGCGCCAAAAAAAGCATTATTATTTATGTACGTTCGGATTCTTAAATTCATCATAGTTATTTTCTATTATTTGACGGAAATCAAATAAATTTAAATGCGTAAACATATTTTTTACCCGCTTTTATTTTAGTAAACTTTTAAGTATTATTATAATACATTTTAAATACATTTAAAGTATCAACTAAGGAACTATTTTAAGCATTTTTATATGTGTTTGAAAGTTATGAAAAAAAAATAAAATTGAAAAAAAAAAATATCCATGATCAACGAATCACACAGTAATCACATTTATCGGGAAAACCCAAATATCAGTTGTTTTAGTGCGATTTTTAGTGCGTTCTTAATAATTGAGAAATAAAATTGAAATTAATTTGTTCTAAATAATCAATGACGTCATAGCGCGAATTGCCTGCTTGGCCAAAACTCTTAGGTTTCTTTGGTTTAATAACCACGCATGACGAAAGGGATAATGTTATCTTAAAATCTTAAAATTAAATTTAATAAATAAAATTGGTTGCTTTCTAAATTGTTAATAAAACACACACATATTTTAGCTTTGTATTTTAAAAATTTAAATTTTTCCTTTAATTTTTAAATTGCAAAGATATACTTTTATTACATTTATAACTTTATAAAAACTAACCTTTAAATATACTTCTAATAAGAAAATGCGGTTTAAGTTAATCATTGCAGCGAAAGTCCATAGCCATATAGCATTTACTAATCCACTTATAACTCATCCAAATAAGAACAAACCATATGAAGTGCAAAAAATATGAGGTTGGGACTACAATCCTGTGGAAGATTGTATTAATTTAAATAAAAAGTATTAATTGGGAGGTTGGTCAGCTTGCCCGAGGCATCACAAGATACGTCTCAAAATAAAGGAATGTATTTGATAAATAAATTACCATCTTGGCTACATACATACAGGAAATAGGAAATATGATATTTACATTTTTACATGGAAGAAAATATATATCTAAATCATATGGCATTACATTTGTGAAAGAAGAGATGTTATATTCTCTTTTTACAAATAAACATATTAAGAAAACAAATGGCATTACCAATGGGTACATAAATATCAGAACACAATCATTTACACATTTGAAAATTTAATTTTTAAAAATGGAGATGGGTTAACAATTTATTTTAAAAAAATGAAAATAAAATTTTGTTTTTACTATGCGAAAAGTAAAGTGTGTGAAATGGGTGTATATTATTATAAGATTAACCATTTTAAAAAAAGACACACAAGTCTGTTATAGACGTGAAAATGGTTTCGAGATTCTTTTTTTAGATAAAAGAATTGTTTTGCAATTTTCTGATCAAGTATACTTTTTTAAAAATGTGAAACTGTTTTAAAATTTTGTATGAAGAAATAAATATAAAACAAATTCCTGTAATATAAAATATATTTATATCATCTAGAATTTTTGTTTTAAATTTAAGATAATGTTTTTTAACCATTTTTTTTTAGACAAAAAATGTTGTAATTCAAGGGTACGAAAAGGGGCTAAATCTAAAATATTTCTCTAGTGTAAAAATCTGCCCTCAATTAACTTCTGTAGTAACAAAAGTTATATAATTAGTGATAATTTATGTTTGGTAAATTAAGCCCATTTTTAGTGTGGGGGGGGGGGCAACAGTAGTTTAGGAACATGAAAGGGAGTAGCGTAGGCGTAGGTGTATAATATATAAGCAGATAAATACTTCACAAAACTTAATGTTAGAAACTTAAATATCATTATATTTTTAAAGTTATGAAATGTGAAGAGTTTTTTGGCAATAGCGGGTATAAAATATCGCAAATTACCTACCATTATTATCGCGATAACATCGGGTCATTCATTCTAGTATATTAGAATATTTAATTTACACACAAATTGATCAACCTTTTTTTAATATTATTTAATTTAATTCCTTCTCGTATTAATGCCAACTGAGTAAAAGAATTGTCTTGCGTTAGCATTCTTGAAATCGCGTTGAAACCAAACTGAGGCGTTGTTTTTTGCCTGTCCGCGGTGCTATCAAGGCCTCTACTATGTTAATTGTCTCAAAAGTTAATCTCTTCTCACTAAGCTGTTGCATTAGAAGTCAAAGCGTGATGGTCACGCAAGTTTACTCAAGATTGTTCCTCAATGTTTATGTAATGCTGAAAGATCCAGTTCTTCTAATTTTGCTGATTTCATTCTAGCTCAGATCATGGTGGCCCCTACAGTCGAAATGTAGATACTGCTACATTTTAACAGGACTTTTAAATATCTGATGAATTTTGTTATAATAATACCGTCACCTTTTCGAACGGGGCCCGACCGGACTTCTTATTTTAACTGTCATACGGGGCCCCACCGGACTTCTTATTTTAAATGTCATACGGGGTCCCATCGGACTTCTTATTTTAAATGTCATACGGGGCCCCACCAGACTTCTTATTTTAACTGTCATGTAAAATTTCTAGAGTTATGGTGTTTTCCTTGGATATTTTAGTTTTAAATTTTCCATGTAATAATTATTGAATATACATTCAAATATGTAGAGCTTTTGGGAATTTATCAGAATAGCCTATAAAATAATCAAATAACTTTTAAAAATTTTTAGTCTTCTATTTAATCATTTGAGTCATTTTTTTTTAACAAGTTACTGGAATATTTAAATTTTATTTTTCCAGAAAGCTGTACATTTTTCAACGTTGTTCTATAAATTCTGAACATGTCAATGCGGATCTTTAAAAAAATTGACAGATTTTTTCATTAGTTGTATAGAATTATATGGTAGGGTCTCGGTTTCGCTGAGTTGATCTTTTACCGGTTTCTTTCTGGTCTCCTTTTCTACGATTAAATTAAAAAAAATTTTTTTTTGAAATTTAAAAAAAAAAAGTTCCAAAAGAGTGTAGAAGTTTCCAAATTTTATTTTCTTTTTCTTTTTTTTTTTGGAAAGGTCATACACGGAAATTATCGTTGAATTTAAACTAAGAAGGTCCCACCCTTTTCTTGAATGGGTCACGTATTTTATTTTAAATTTTTTTTTTTTTTTTTTTTTTTACTATTAAATTAAAAAAAATTTTTTTTTTAAATTTAAAAAAAAAAAGTTCCAAAATAGTGTAGAAGTTTCCAAATTTTATTTTCTTTTTCTTTTTTTTTTTGGAAAGGCCATACACGGAAATTATCGTTGAATTTAAACTAAGAAGGTCCCACCCTTTTCTTGAATGGGTCACGTATTTTATTTTAAACTAAAAGCAGTCGTCTTTACACCGATGTTAATGGTAAAACTTTAAATAACAATGTTTGTTCATCATCCAAACTTAAATACTCACTTCAGTATAATATATTAAAAAAAAAAACAAAAAAAAAATCTAAGTCCTTTTGGAACCTGGACCACAATATTAAAATCATCATTGGCAAAATCAATTAGATTTTAAAGAGATAAAAATTCAACATTTCATTTTAATATTTTAGTTTAATGATTTTTATAGAGCCCCTAATTAACGGATAGCCAATATGGCCTACTTTTAGAATATGTTCCAGTCAGGGTTCCTATTTCAAAGCTGTTGATAAATGACACTAAATTTGGCACCTTATTTAAATTGAAATTTTAAAAAAAGTTCAATTTGTTTTTAAATCATGGCTTTTCTTCATTGAGTCCATCTTGAATATTAGCGAAACGGAACGGGTCCCAAATTAAATATGTTAAAGAATTTTAATAAATCTTTAAGTTTGATAGGAAATTATATAAAAAATTGATTTTAGCTAAATAAATTTTTTATGTTTGCTGATAACATGTTTTTCTTCTGCAAATAAATCGAGACCAGCGCCAGATATATTCGCTAGTAATTTATTATGGAATGATAAGTTCTTGTGACTTATATAGTGTCATGGCTTTATATAGTGTCATTGCATTATATGGTGTCGTAGAATTTTATGGAGTAATAGTCATTATTTGCATCATGGCATTAAATGGTATCATGGCAGAATGTGGTGCATTGGCATTATTTAGTGTCATGGCAATATAAGTGATCATGGCATTATATGTTGGCATGCCATTATATGGTTTCATGGCACAGTAGAGTGTCATGTCACTAGGTGGTGTCATAACATTATATAATTTCATTTCATTATATGGGGTCATGGCATTATATGAAGCCTAGGGAATATATATTGTAATTGCATTATTTGTGGTCATGGCAATATATGATATCATGGCATTATTTGGTTCAATGGTACAACATGCTGTCAGGGCATTACATGTAATAATGGCCTTGTGTTGTGTCATGGAATCATTTAAGGCATGTCATTATATTGTGTATGTGCATTGAATGGTGTCATGGCACTACATGGTGTCATTGTATTATACAGGTTCTACCACTACACAAGGCAAGGGCATTAAATGGTGTAATGGCATCATATTATGCCATAGCATTATATATGTTCATTGAGCCTTATTGTTTATGTCATTAGACGGGATCAAGACATTATATGAATTCATGTCAGCATATGGTGTTATGCCATGATATGTTGTCATGGCATTAAATGGTGTGATGCAATCATGTGGAGAAATGCACCATTTGGTTTAATTGGCATGATATGGCGTCATGGTCTGAAAAGTTTTCATGGAAATTATTATATGGTGGTGTTGTCATGCATTACATACATTTTAGGCATCAGTTGGTATCAATGAATTATATGGGGACATGACTTTAGATAGTTTAATGGCTTTAGATCGCGCAATGGCTCATCAGGAAGCACAGCATTAAATAGTGTTATTGCATTTCATGTTTTCATGGCACAATATGATGACATAGTATTGTATAGTGTAAAGGAATTATAATACTATTAAGTCATGGAACTATTTGGTTTCATGGCACTATATGGTTACATGGCACTATATGGTTATATGGCACTATATGGTTACATGGTATTGTATTGTGCTATAGCCCTAAATGGTGTCTTTGTTTTGATGTGTTTATGGTATTGTATCTGTCATGGCATTATTTATGTATGGCATTATATGGTTTCATGCCCATTATTCATGGTATAATATGGCATCATGGCATTATATGTGGTCACAACATTATATTGCACAATGGCATTATATGGTGTTATGGCATTATGTGTGGTCACAACATTATATTGCACCATGGCATTATATGGTGTTATGGCATTATATGTGGTCACAACATTATATTGCACAATGGCATTATATGGTGTTATGGCATTATATGTGGTCACAACATTATATTGCACAATGGCATTATATGGTGTTATGGCATTATATGTGGTCACAACATTATATTGTACAATGGCATTATATGGTGTTATGACATTATATGGTATTATGGCATTATATGGTGTTATGGCATTGTAACAGACCATGTTTGCACACGAAACCATTGAGTCAGAGAGGTGGCATAATTTGAATATTGAAAAATGTTAACGTGTAATTTTCACGGGAAAAGAGAGTAAATTATGTCTTTGTAAAGCGGAAGTTTAGCCGCACGTTGTGTTGAGTGATCAGGGGCAGTACATCGAGTGCCATAGTTAAGAGAGGAATTGGTTGTTTCTCTGAGAGGTGAATTTTCTATACCATGGAATATTATATATATATATGTGTGAAATAATTGCATTGTGGATGTTATTAACTGGATATTTATGCAAGGAATCTTCTTAATATCGTTATTGTAAAAGACAACGTAATAAAGTACTGTGAGTTTAAATTGGAAATTAATATACTTCTTTGTGTGACTGGCTAAGTAAGTGAAGGAATGGAAGAAGTATTACTCTACTCAAGCCGGCAGTTGAATCATTAATATAGAAGCAGTTAACCATGCTACTGACACAACACCCTAATAAATAGCGTGTCAGAGCAATGTGTTACAATGTTGTCAGAAGTAACAGACCATGTTTGCACACGAAACCATTGAGTCAGAGAGGTGGCATAATTTGAATATTGAACTATGTTAACGTGTAATTTTCACGGGAAAAGAGAGTAATGTGTTACAGGCATTATATGGTGTTATGGCATTATATGGTGTCATGGCATTATATGGTGTTATGGCATTATATGGTGTCATGGTATTTTAAGGATTGATGGCATATAGTGTGAATTTGCCCTTATAGGAGGTCATAATTAGAGACCGACCGAATTTCGGCTTCGGCTTCGGTTTCGGCGCCGAAATTGGCCATTTTATCCCTTTCGGCTAAGTTTCGGTTTCGGCCGAAACTGAAAAGTTAACCTTCGGCTTAATTTAGGTTTCGGCCGAATGAGAAAAGTTAACTTGCAGATTTTTTTAGGTTTCGGCCGAAATTGACTTCCGGATGGCCGAAAGTGACTCGGGTTTTCGGTCATTTAATAATCAGCGAAAGTGAAATTTAACAACAAAACTAAGTGACATTTAAGAACAAATTTAGCGATATTTGAGATCAAACTAAACGATTTTTAACAACAAACAAAGCGACATTTTAGAACAACTTAACGATTTTTGAAACAAACAAAGCAATCTTTAAGAACACTCTAAGCGATCTTTAATAACAAACTAAACGATATTTAAAAACAAATGCTGGGACGAGCATATTAACAATGTATGTAACCAAGCAAACAAGACCCTAGGGTTCTTAAGGCAAAATCTAAGGATTGACAACTCCAGTGTGAAAGAAAGAGCATATAAAGCCTTTATCCGTACGATTTTAGATTATGCATCTTCAGTCTGGGGAGCATTGACAGGCTGGAGGCGGTCCAGTGACGAGCAGCACGCTTTGTCCTAAACCGCTACAGGAATACCTCTAGTGTTGGCAGCATGCTAGAAACACTAGGCTGGTCACCATTGGAGAAATGACGACGACAATCCAGGCTATCCATGATGTACAAGATAACTAATGGGCTGGTCCACTGTTCCAGTATTAAACAGAAACGCGTCCCTCTCCCCCATAGACAGCGACGAGGCCATGACAGGCAATTCAGGCTCATACCAGCAAGAAGCCAGTATAGGAGCTGCTCATTCCTGCCCAAGACAATCAGGGACTGGAACCATCTTTCAAAAGGAACGGTTGAGGCGACAACACTAGACACATTTGTGTCTATTGCCTCAAGCCTTCAAACCCCTAGTGCATAATTTCCTCATCAACACTAGTAACAGAAACATTGCAAATCCCATCTACATGCATAGGAGCCAAAATGATCAATAAATTGATCGTGGGCCCTTAAGATATAGAAGAAGAAGAAATAAAGTGACCGTTAAGAACAACTTAAGCAATCTTTGAGAACCATGATCAGAACAATAATTTTAAGAGACCCGGTTTAAAAAATTAATTTTCACCACCAATGGGGGTGAGGGAGTTTGGTCTCCGAATGAAATAATTACGTCACCAGCACGGAGAGTCTAGTGTTGGTTTTATTATATTAAATATTAATACAGTGCTGTCTTGCAAGCTATTAATGAAAAGAAAAAGCATCAGTATTATGAAAACAGCGAAACATTGTAGTGATATTTTTATAGCCTCAATAGCATTGAGGTGGCTATTGGCTCTATTAGAGTAACAATAATTGTTTTAGGTATATGTTCTAGGTTGTAATTATATTATACAAGCAAAGGCACCCAAGAATCTATTTTTCATTCCTTTTCCCCCACCCCCCCCCCCCCGTCCCATTTTTGCCAAATTTTCTCCTAATTTAAATTACGTTTATATTAAAATGGTAGAATCCAAAGTATTCATTAGAGCTAGGGTTTGAAACTCAAAGCATCAGGGGGGGGGGGCCGCAGTAGGTAGTGTCTGAGTGACAGCGGGCCGCATCAAGCATTCCACAAACTGTAACTGTTACAATCTGCTCAACCTTTACAAATAGCAATAATAACATTAAGGGATCTAAAGAACTAGGATTCATTTCTTCCACCTACTCACTGTTGCCAGAGACCTGGCAGCGCTTCTTTTTACACAGCTGAGCAACTTTGAGCTTGAGTGAGGCAGCAACTAAGAATCTCAGTATAGCTTGAAGATCCTCATCAGTAAGTCTGGCCCTGAACTTTGACTCGTTAAAGTGCATAGTGGAAAAGAGCTATTCTCACAGATAGGTACTCCGTAAAAGGCGTATGTTCCACTTGAACAACCTAAAAATTTCAGGGAAGGTGGAGGGCAATGCAATAAAAATTTCCATGCTCGTCTGTTTTTCCATTCACTCCCTGCGCAGGGCATTTTGCACATTAAAGGAGAAAGGGTCAGCAAAAAGCTGAAAAATGGATGTCTGTGTTTTGAAGTCTAAAAATGTAGAAACCCAGACTGGGTAAAAGGGCATAAGAAGAAAATTTAGAAAGTGACCAAGCGGACAGGTTTGGAGTTTACCTCACTCGTAAACACTAGCGGCAATGTTAATATGGATTCTTTGATAATGTATCAGATTGCTACGAGTTACACAATTATGGTTCTTACCGTTATAATCATCATACAAAAATATATAGGAACATTTTTAAAACAATCAGAATGAGACTAGTCGGTGAGATTCGACTGAAACCGTCACGGAGAGTCACGTTATAGATATGAGAATGGGGGGAAACGCGCCGGCGCATTAATACTAAACTTTTCTGTCAGTAGCGGGCCGCAAAATATCTTCTCGCGGGTCACAAATGGCTCGCGGGCCGTGAGTTTGAGACCCCTATATTAGATATTTATTTATTAATATTCACGATTATCTCATTTTTTATAAAAAGAATGTAAATATTCATACTTTACCCCATCATTTTCGATGTATGCAGAATGCATGCGGGAACGAATTTCAAAATATCTTAATATTTCATTTTCGGCTTCGGATTGGCCGAAATTCATTTTTAACTTTCGGCCTATTTTAGGTTTCGGCTGAAAGTCATTTTAAACGTTCGGCCTATTTTCGGCTTCGGCCGAAAACAGAGAATCACTTTCAATCGGTCTCTAGTCATGATATTATATGTTGCTATGGCAATATATTTGGTTATGGTACTATATATATAGTGTAATAGCATTTTAAGAGATTTAATGGTAATATACAGAGTTATTACATTTAACGGGTCCATTGCATTATATTTAATCATGTCATTATATTGTGTCATGGCATTCTATGAAAGCATTCTATGGTGTATGGCATTACAGATGTTAATGGCAATATCTTTCGTCAAGGTATTGTGTGGTGTCTTTCATGAAATGTTTCATGGCATCAACATTCTTAAATTATATATTTATTTTAACGTCTTTAAAAATAATTCTGATTAATATAGCTTTAAAATGTCAAAAGCCCTCGCTCAAAAGAAAGTGACAGAGACAATATCACATTAAAGAAACAGAAAAAGTGGAATTGTCCATCTTAGATTTAGGAGAGACAGTGTAGACCAACAAAAAAAAAAGCTTCATAGGTCATACTACATTGATGGGAATGATAACAGAAGAAGAGAAAATGAACAATATTTTAAGTTCAGGCAAGAGATAACAGAAGGAAAGAGAGTCTTGGAAAGATACTGTGTCATGGCATGTAATGGTGTCATGGCATTATATGGGTTATTTGAATTATATATGGTCATGGCATCATATTGTGTCATTGCATTATATGGTGCCGTGGTACTTAAAGGAAATTATGGCATATGGTGTTGTCATGCATTATATAAGTTTTTGGCATTATTTTCCCGAATTTACTAGCTTCTGCTTACACAGTGAGTATGTCCTTATTTGTCTGTTTGATTTTCGACGTCAACTCTTTCGTCTAAAATTTGAGAACAAGTCATGTTTTCCAATGAGTTTAAACTATATACACTTACCCACACAAGATGATAATACCACACAACAACCCCCAACCCCCCCCCCCCACCCAGATCAGTAGGTCTGTAATGACCTTGACTGACCCTTGTGTGGCCCTTACAAGTCAAATCCACGATATCAATTTTACCCACTTGAGCTGAAATTTGGAATTAGACCAAAATGAACCGAGAAATTAACAATATAAAATATACTTTTTTTTTTTAAACATGCGTTTAAAAATATACTACATAAATACCCATCCCCACATGGAAATATAAAAGAATATAAACAATTCAGAATTGTTAGTGTCATGTGACTAAAGCTGTGCGGGGGGCACGCATTTAATACAACGATCTCGTATTTTCATAGGTCGTACGTGTGTTGTTGTTTTTTTTTTTTAGTTTTTGTGTGATAAACTCTTGAATCTTCCTGACTTCCAACTGAGTTGAAACAAGAACACTGAGTTGACGGAAGCAACACTAATGTAAAAAAAAAGATAAAGGTAACATCTTACGTTGAACGTCACATCTGTCTGGCTATAGTCCAATGTAAGTATGATCCCCACCTTTATTTCAGAAGGCTCATACACCAGATATAAAGCGGCGAATCGACATCTCGGAACGGTTCCATTCACATGGAGGTGATCGCAGGTCATGGTGAACGTCTCCCCTTCTTCGACCGTCGTCTTGTCCACAACACTTAGTCCACCAAAGACTGGCGAAACATAGACATTGACTTGATTTAGATTTACTGAGGTTGAGTGGTCGGGAGGAAAAAAATGGGGGGGGGGGGTCGAGATTTGTATTTGATCGATTCTTTTCTGATTTGAAAATGTCAAAGATGCTTCAATTTCATCGCTTTTACGATAGCCATCGATAGCCAGGGAACAGTCGAACTCCTAAGGTAGTGTCTAAAACAGTTATAATTAAACATCACCTCAAGTCTGTGGTCTGTGCAACAAATAACCTATATTCACCATTACCCAAAATGTTATACCCCACATTACGTTATTGCTCAATCCAGTCCTCCAACCTATAGTGACACAATTAAGTTTATACATGAAAACAATCAACCATGTCCAGACATGCAACACGACAACAATACAGGGCAATCAGGTGACAAAGCTCAATCAATAATGCGCTCAATCGTCAGTCATCCATACTGTGGCAGCGTCTATATTTCATTAGTGTGTGATCTAAAAGCGTACCAAAATTTTGAGACCATTTGCCTATATGCAACTTTTGTAATGATTCACACATTACATTATTTTTCATTTTGAAAGAACATTTCAAATATTAAAAATATTTAAATTAATCCAAATGTAACTAGAGTGTTATATACAGTTAGTAGACTTAATGATATAATACAAAGAGTTGTATACAGCTAGTAGATTTGGTATGGACTATTGCAATGCTCTCATGGTGGGTCTTCCAGCTACGCTCCTGGATAAAATTCAGATAGCACAGGAAAATGCGGCTCACATTGTTCTCCGCAAACGCAAGTTCGACCATGCAAAAACACTTCTGAGAGAGTTGCATTGGCTGCCGGTGCGTGCTCGCATAGAGTACAAAATCGCAACTTTGTGCTACCGCTGCTTACATAGCCTGGCGCCGTCCTATCTGAAAGAGCTGCTGGCGCCTTAAGTACCCACTAGACAACTCCGCTCATCCGACAGTGGCAAACTATTGACACCACGTGTTCGCCTTGAGACTTGCGGAAAGCGCACTTTCGCATTTGCTGGTCCAACAATTTGGAACGCCCTTCCAGTCGATCTCAGAAACAATCAGACACTGGAGTCCTTTAAAACCGATTTAAAGAATCATTTATCTCGCAAACACCTTCTGGGGTGAATATCTACCATATTTTCCATTTAATGCATATTGGGTGTGTTGCTCAGTGTTGAATGGGTAGAAAGATTTTGACATTGTATGCCTGTAATTAGTGTTTGTAGTGTTGTGTTTGTTTTAAATGTGGTAAATTATATATATATATATATATATATATTACTCTTGTACCGCGTTTCGAGCCTTTGGGGATGAAGCGTGTTTTTGAAATACACTTTTATTATTATTATTTCATGGTATAATACAAAGAGTTGTACTTAATTTTTCAGTGAAAAACTGACTGTGGCGCAATCGCACAATGACATAACTGATGGCACAATGACATCACTAATGGCATCTATACCATGTTCTAAACAGCGCAGTGCGGTCTTGTTCTTACCCCTGTAACTCGCCCGGTACGTTATTCATGAACGTTTGGAACAGGTGCAAATGATCGGTGAGTAAGAATGTAACCATAAATAGAGTTTGCCATAAATTCATGCACTATTGAAATTCCAGAGTTATTGTTTACGTCATACTGTATCATAGCGCTGCTTAAGGTCGACATTGAATGCTGTGGTCAACTTTGTGTCAGTTGGAAACCAGTAAGGATCATGCAGATCTGACAGAAGGGTAAATCATCAGTACATTCTCCAGCTGTGTAGCCAGCATTATGTTTATTTGGGGAATTCAATTGCATCTAGATATCAACAGGGTAATTGTTGATATGTTAATTGGGGATGCCATTGGTTTCTACCTACCAATAAGTCAATGGTTGATATTTTAATTGGGGATGCCATTGGTTTCTACCGACCAATAAGCCAATGATTGATATGTTTTTGGGAATGCTATTGGTTTCTAAATACCAATATAGCAATTGTTGATAATCATTTATGAAAGTTTTCAATGCTGAAAATTGGGGAAATATGGCCCTTGGCATCATCTTCAAGCTTTCTTCTCTTTTAAAACGGACTTATCATGTTATTTTCATACCGTTATCATGGCATTTTGATGACATAGTCGTGACATTATCCTGACATTATAATTAAATTATCGTGAAATTAACATTGAATTATCGAGACAGAATCGTGACAGTCATTATCGTGACATTATCATGACATTGGTGTGTCAATATCGTGGCAGTGTCGTGGAGTTATAGTAAAATTTCGAAATATTATCGTAGCATCACTGTGGCATTTTCGTTACTTTCTCATGGCATCGTCGTGATGGGATCATAACATTATCGTGACGCTATCATGGCATTTTAAAAAACATTTAGCGATTTAACTAATTCTTGAGGTACTGTTTACAAAGGGGACTACTTTTTTTTTTTTTTTTTTTTAACTCAGGAGCCCGAATTTATGAGCATCTCATGTATATTTTCCCGTCCCGATACTTCCATTTCTCCTTTTTTCTTTTCAGCTCAGTCTATAATAAAAATATCCTGTTGAACATTTTTTTTGGTACTGTTTACAAAGGGGACTACTTTTTTTTTTTTTTTTGTTAACTCAGGAGCCCGAATTTATGAGCATCTCATGTATATTGTCCCGTCCCGATACTTCCATTTCTCCATTGTTCTGTTCAGCTCAGTCTATAAATAAAATATACTGTTGAACATTTTTTTGATTCGATCAATTAATTCTGTACAAAAAACACATTTTATTATGTATAACATTTCTCTTCAAATCACAACCTCAATCTCAGCTTCACCGGGAAGCAGGTTTTATGTCGACGTGATAAGCTCATATCCAGCATCTCCTTTTTAACATTAACTCTGTATATACTTAACAAACACATGCAAAATAAATATATAGAATGGCGATTCTAACCAAATACAATAAATCAAAGTATGTAAAAAGGGAGATACTTACCAATTACATTCAACCAACATATATAGAGTGGAGAAACTTACCAAATATATTCAACCACCAAAATATATAGAATGGAGATACTTACAAAATATTTTCTAACAAAATATGTAGAGTGGCAACATTTATCAAATACATTCAACCAAAATATAGAATGGAGATACTAAATACATTCAACCAAAATAGTATTTAGAATGGAGATATTAACCAATTACATTCAACCAAAATATGTAGAATGGAGATACATACCAAATACATTCATCCAAAATATGTAGAATTGAGATATTTTACAGAATACCTTCAACCAAAATATATAGAATGGAGACATTTACCAAACACATTCAACCAAAAAATGTAGAATTGAGATATTTACCAAACACATTCATCAAAAATATGTTCAATGGAGATATTTACCAAATACATTCAACCAAAATATGTAGAATGGAGATACTTACCAAAAACATTCAACCAAAATAATATATAGAATGGAGATATTTACCAATTACCTCCAACCAAAATATATAAAAAGGGAGATACTTACCAATTACATTCTACCAAAATATATAGAATGGAGATACTAACCAAATATATTCAACAAAAATATATAGAATGGAGATACTTACCAAATATATTCAAACAAATTATATGGATTGGAGACATTTACCAAATCCATTCAACCTACATATATAGAATGGAGATATTTACCAAATACATTCAACCAAAATAATATATATGTAATGGAGATGTTTACCAAATACATTCAACCAAAATAATATATATGTAATGGAGATGTTTACCAAATACACTCAACCAAAATAATATATGTAATGGAGATGTTTACCAAATATATTTTTTATATATTATGTGGAATGGAGATACTTACCAAATACATTCAACCAAAATATGTAGAAGTGTTTCATATTCTTAGCTCTTAAGAAGATACCTATGAATCTTTTGAAAAAAAAAAAAAAATGACCCTCGTCAATGTCCCAGTGAGAGAGAGAGTAAAGACTTGTGCGCATCTTGTTCAGTGACTGTTCCATTTGGTGCGGAAGTCATTTTGATTTAAGCCTACATTTTCAATGTAATTTTTGCCTCTAAATAGTTTCCTTATTTCGTATATCTTTGAAGGAATGTTGAACAATGGGACCAAGTAACAAAGTTATGTTGTCTAGTGTGGCTCCAAGTAGCACTCTTATTTTGTCTATTGTTGTACCAAATTACACTGTTATGTTGTCTATTGTGGCACCAAGTAACAGTGTTATGTTGTCTGTTGTGGCACCAAGTAGCACTGTTATGTTGTCTATTGTTGTACAAAGTAACACAGTTACGTTGTCTATTGTGGCACCAAGTAACAGTGTTATGTTGTCTATTGTTGTACCAAGTAACACAGTTATGACGTATATAGTGGTACCGAGTAACAAAGTTATGCTGTATGTTGTTACGAGATTTCGCCTTTTTTAAAGTGTTTAATGAAAACTAAAGAGTTAATCTGGAATGTTTGCCAATAATGAGAGAAGGCCAGAATCCCCCAGAAGGTGCTGCAGGAAGTTCCCAAAGAATTTTAGGAATTTTAGGCATATGCCTTCTCGCATTTGTTGTTGTTGAAGGGGTCTTCTGTATACAGGTGTTATAACTCTTTGCAAGGTCAAATAGTCTTGCCAGAAGGACGTACTGAGCAAAGTGTTTTGGCCATGATGTTAATGCTCCAGATGTTTGATTGGTTTCAATTCATCAGTTTGTTTTAGACTTTGTTCACACTTCGTTATACACAATGTTAAACAAAAGTCACTTTCCATTAGAATTGAGACTTTAAGCTATAAATATATTATTATTATTATTATTTAGTAGTTTTATACAGCGCGGTACCTCAGTCTAGGGCTAGGCTCACTGCGCTTTACATAAAAATTCGCAATTACTGAAAAAAAAAATACGTTCAGAAACATCAAATACAAGTGAAAAGCTTGACCTCACCAACCCAGATACTGTCTACCCTTGTCTAGCCACGGACAGCACCCACCAGA